AAGGTGATCAGTGATGGAGGCAAGCCCAAGGTGCAGGTGGAGTACAAAGGAGAGAATAAGACCTTCTACCCAGAAGAGATCTCCTCTATGGTCCTGACTAAGATGAAGGAGATTGCCGAGGCGTACCTGGGACAGAAAGTCTCCAATGCCGTCATCACCGTTCCTGCCTACTTCAATGACTCCCAGCGCCAGGCGACCAAAGACGCCGGCGTTATTGCTGGACTGAATGTGCTGAGAATCATCAATGAGCCCACAGCAGCTGCCATCGCTTACGGGCTGGATAAGGGCAAGAGAGGAGAGCGCAACGTCTTGATCTTTGACCTGGGTGGCGGCACCTTTGACGTGTCCATCCTTACCATCGAGGATGGGATCTTTGAGGTCAAGGCCACAGCAGGGGACACACACCTGGGTGGGGAGGACTTTGACAACCGCATGGTCAACCACTTTGTGGAAGAGTTCAAGAGGAAATACAAGAAGGACATCAGCCAGAGCAAAAGAGCACTGAGGAGACTGCGCACCGCATGTGAGAGAGCCAAGAGAACCCTGTCCTCCAGCTCTCAGGCCAGCATCGAAATCGACTCTCTGTATGAAGGCATCGACTTCTACACCTCTATTACCAGGGCTCGTTTTGAGGAGATGAACTCTGACCTCTTCAGAGGGACCTTGGAGCCGGTTGAGAAGGCACTCAGAGATGCCAAGATGGACAAGTCTCAAATTCATGACATCGTCCTTGTTGGAGGCTCCACTCGCATCCCCAGGATCCAGAAACTGCTGCAGGACTTCTTCAATGGCAGGGAGCTGAACAAGAGCATCAACCCCGATGAGGCTGTGGCCTATGGTGCAGCTGTGCAGGCAGCCATCCTCATGGGCGACACCTCTGAGAATGTGCAAGACTTACTGCTGCTGGACGTGGCTCCACTGTCGTTGGGCATCGAGACTGCAGGAGGAGTCATGACAGCCCTCATTAAGCGCAACACTACCATTCCCACCAAGCAAACCCAGACCTTCACTACTTATGCAGACAACCAGCCTGGTGTCCTGATCCAGGTGTATGAAGGGGAAAGAGCCATGACCAAGGACAACAACCTTCTGGGCAAGTTTGAGCTGACGGGTATCCCCCCTGCCCCACGAGGGGTGCCACAGATCGAGGTGACCTTTGACATTGACGCCAATGGCATTCTGAACGTGTCTGCAGTGGACAAAAGCACTGGCAAAGAGAACAAGATCACCATCACCAATGACAAGGGCCGGCTGAGCAAAGAGGAAATTGAGAAGATGGTGCAGGACGCCGAGAGATACAAAGCAGACGACGATGCCCAGAGGGAGAAGATCGCTGCCAAGAATGCCCTGGAGTCCTACGCCTTCAACATGAAGAGCAGTGTGGAGGATGAAAACATGAAAGGCAAGATCAGCGAGGAGGACAAGAAGAAGGTCGTCGAGAAATGCAACCAAACCATTGCCTGGCTGGAGAACAACCAGCTGGCAGAGAAGGAGGAGTACGAGCACCAGCTGAAAGAGCTGGAGAAAGTGTGCAACCCCATCATCACCAAGCTGTACCAGGGAGGGATGCCAGGAGGCATGCCAGGAGGAAGCCAGACCCAGGCAGGGTCAGGGCCCACAATAGAAGAGGTGGATTAAGAGGACAAGACTGATCCATTAATAAAAAAAAAATGGACTCTTCAAACAGAGTGCTTTGAGAATGATGGGGGGGGGGGGTGTTTGTGTGAGCATCATATGATTTAGCTGAATCCATGTGAATGTTTGGATTTCACATCTCATATACTGTCAAAGGCTGGTTGCCATGCATAATTTAATTTTGGCTAAAACTTCTACTACATGTTCTGCTGTTTAATTTTGTGGGAACAAGGGAGTGTGTGGAAGTAGTATTGAGTAGTATAGCAGTAGTATTGTGGTTGGAGATAATTTGTCTGCACTTGCTACACTTTTTCCAACAAGTATTGTTGTTTGCTATGTTGCCAAAAAGTACTGTTCAGAAATTCATATTCTGTAAATGTTCTTTTGATATTTCTTTAAATAAATCTCTTAAAAATATATTTTATTGATAAGTTTGCAGTGTTTTGGAATTGACTCTGGTCTAGATATGGGATTAGAGAATTTTCTTCACATGGTGATGTATTGAGCTCAGGTTCAGCAGCAGTACATAATAGTTTCAGCAATACATAATTTCTAACCACTTTATCTGATTTACAATTGTGGGGAAGCTGGAACCTATCCTGGCAAGCAACATGCGCAAGGCAGGATACACCCTGGATGGGACACTAGTACCTTGCAGGGCACACACACAGAGACATGCACACACAATAAGGTTTGTTTTCTCAGAAGCCAGCTAATGTATCATATATCTTTGATTTATGGGAGGAAAGCAGAGCACCTCAGGTGTGGGCTAGAACCTAGGACCCCAGCACTGCCAGGCAGCAATGCTAATCGGTATGTAACCGTAAATCCCACATAATACCCAGCTGTTGTGTTAAATGTACACCACTTAAAATGACTAAATTCTAGATGTCTATTTAAACACTAGATTATACATCTCTTTTCTGTGGTGTACTATATGGTACTATTTTTACTGGACTGGAGTGGCATGAGACAACTGAGAAAAATCTGCAAATTCAGAAAAAAGATGTATTTGCCTCTGGGTGTTTTAAGAGTTCTGCATCACATTTCCAAAATAAGTAACCTTTTCTGCTATCACTTTATCCTTTTATGCGATCAATATCTAAATCTTAAGAATGTTTTTCTATGATTAGGCTTCTGTGCTAGTACCTGCAGAACTGGTGCTTTTGTTCTTATTTGAGAAGCATCAGTGACTCCTGTCAAGGATTACAGTATCATTGCAAAGGTGCTGATCACCCCCCGGCAGGCAGGCATGGAGCAGGTGATGTGAAGTGACTCAGCCCGCAGTGGTGGGGCCAGGTAGACCTGCCACAGCCTGCTTTCCTCTTGGCTTCAAACCTCATTACTAGAGGTCTTCCCTGCTGCGCTCAGCTTCCTGGTCTTGGAAGTAAAAATCCTGTAATCCACACAGGAAAAACTATCATCCAGCAACTTGAACAGGCACTTTATGCTGATGCTGAAGTTATCTGCGAAATATTGACATGAAATGAATTCATTTCGTGAATATAGAAATATATCAATATATCTAGAAAATAAATACGCCCCATTTTCTTTTGATGCTTACTAATCAATATTGGGAATCAGTAATGTTCCAGCACCTCGGCACCGATTAAGCTGTTCCATTTGAAGCCTTTAAAGCTATGATGATGTTGCTTTATTCGTACGGCAGGTGGAGTTCAACTTCAGGATTTTGTCACCAGGACGCAAGTACGAATGTCCTCTGCAACCCTCAAAACTTTTCCCACCCACAAATCCTTAGCTGCATAATCTGTGATTAGTGTACATTAACTCTCAGGAAAGACATTCAAACGATTTTTGATCCCTTTTTGTGCATTTTAAATAAGTCACATTTACAGCACCTCTCCACCATTTCTCCCACTGCCAGGGAGTCCAGGGATAAAAGGATGCAACCTACTCCTGCTTTGGTGAAGACAAGGTCACATCCAATCGCTATAGGTGATTTTAAATGGACATCCGCTTTGGCCAATGACTTGCCCGTATTTGTTGTATCCCCGCCCCTAAGGCGTGTTGCCTTTCTCTGTGTCACCGCGCCGCGAGTTACTCACAGCACATACAGCAGCTGGAGTGAGAAAGCGGAGGCATCTATATCAATGGGGTGAGTGGTCTTTCAATCATTGGCTCTTTATCTTTCTTTGCAAAATCATCCTGTCGACTAATTGCTGATAATTGAAGTAATCAAGGTGCACCATAATGTTCCCAGTCTTGCAATATTTTTGAAATGCTTCCTCATGGTTATCAATAAGAAATGTTCACTACACTATTGGCAGTTTTAAATTGATTCATTATTTAGTAGCTTCATACTGGAATGTTTTGTTTCTCTAAATGTTTTTCTTTAAAGGTAGAGGGATCTCCTTAAAGTAACGTGACATTTAATCTTATGTGCATGCACGATTATTTTCAGAACGTATTGTTAGCGTTTCTGTTTTATTTGCACACATTGTCTTCGGAAAGATGCTTGAAACCCAGTCTTGTGACGGCGTAAAATATCCAATCTGTTGCATGCGTCTTTTTGTGGTCCCTCTCTATTGACTGAATTGCTCAGGCGAACGCTTTGCGTCTAGGTGCACATTCGCCAGTCAGTGAACTATATCCACGTTTTAGATAAACTGAATTTTGTCACTCTGTATTCTAAACAAAAGTGCTATTTGTGAAATACGCTTCTTAATCCATCACTGAAAGTAATCGGCGAGATGGTATTGTCTCTACGGAGAGGTAACGCATTATGCCTAGAGATTAAAAATGAAGCACCTTGTCGCTGTCGTGTAATAGAAATCACTATCCTGCGGGCAGCTGTACGAGGTCAGTTATGTTTAATAACAGCGAATACTGCCTTGCATTTTGCAATGACCTTTGTTATCTTTTCACAGTTCTTTGAGTTATGACAGCAAACGCTGCTGAAAATTGTTCTATGCATTTCTCAAGGGAATTTGCCATATCGATTTCAATTTCGAGTTGAACCATTGGAGTAAAATGTGAGTTTGTGATTATTTTGTGTTCTCTGTACGTCTGTCCACCTCTCTAGCGCCAATCATCAGGTTGAGACCTCACAAGGATACTGTTATTACAATGTCAGCAGTCAGCTTTGCGGAAAAGATTGCACTTACACGATGGTCATGAAACACGTTTCTTCTGTTGTCTGTGTCGGGGTATTGGACAAAGAATGCCTTTATATGTGTTTAGGCTGTTTGGTGTCAGATCTTCCGGGGAGTGGTGGATCAATGCGTGTGGTCTGTTTTCCCACTCAGCAAAATAATGTTAGATCATGGAATATGCTTCGAATGCCAAATTGAAGCCCACTACATTGTTATCGTGCTGTTCAGAAGGCTGTCCTCACAGTGAAACCCTGTGAACTACGGTGTGTGACATTGATAAACTTCTATGATCCTCTGCGTTTAATACCGAGTACTAAGTATTGCTTGCAATGTCGATTAACAGTCTCGCCATGATCTCAGGCTTCATCAACAAAAAAATAATCTTTGTCTGTAGGTGTTACACTCTGTTCTGATCTAGTCCTGTATGTCCCACCATTGAAACTAAAAGAAATCGAATTCATCTATTCATTACACTGGTAAGCCTCCACAGTGGGATGGTACTTGAACTCTTAATGAGTGGCTTGAAACCCCCTTCTTACAAGTCAGAAGTGTTATCAGAAACGCCCTGTTCAGAATGTGGATGCAGACACAACCTGCATCTGAAATTAGCTAACGCACTATATCTTTTTTTAAAGTAGCTCATGAAGATGACCATATTTGCATAATAATGTTTTCAAGTGATATGTAATGAGACATGTTGAGGTGTGAAGGATTGTTAGTGTTAAAATAGGTACCTTTGCTTAGTTAATGCAGCAGTTTACAGAATCCTTGTGTGAATTTGACTTCAATTCAAAGTGCAGTATGATAAAAGTATTGAGACAAATGATCCGGTGCAACTTATAACTAATTATAACTAATTGATCATATTTAACTGGAAATGTGGTAGCCCTGTGCAGGTTGCCATAGATAAAACCCTCTGCTAATTACTTTATATTATAAGCCCATTACAGCCTCCATGCTTCTTTAAAGGAGATTGATTGTATGTGATGCCTAATGGGTCATTTATTACCCAAATGGGTAGGAAACATTTCAGTCCAATGTACCTTTGGTGCCTTAGAAGTCCATTACCAGATGTTTATCTTGTGCCTCTTTAGAAAATTGTCTGGAGACCTTGAGTTTCACAGCTTCACTTAGCAGTCCCAATGAGGTGTACTGTACCAATGTCCCATGCTGAACATAAGCCCTTTGGGACATCTCCAGTGTTGAAATCTTCTGACGGCCTGCTCTGCCATGACTTATGTAGTCCAGTGCTGCCGAGACCCCTGTTTGTTTTCCTGCGGAGAACACTTCGTCCCCCAGCGTTAATCTTTGTAAAGCTCTCCTTGGAGGAAAGTAAAAAGAGCCTTTGGGTTCCCATGTGCTGTCTGCGATGCTGAGGCTGCTCAGAAAGAGCTGTGTCCCACAGCAGTGCCTTTGGAATCAGGCCATCTTCTTCACTTTTTATTTCATGTATACCGTATATTCCCGAATATTCCCCGTTCTCCTGGGTTCCTTTCTGATGTTCCACACGTTTATCCCCCTGTCCAGATGTTTCAAGGTCTATTTCGTGGCCTGGGCGATTGTTTTCTTAGGGTGTCTACTGCTTTGGAAATGTTTGTTCAGCTTGGTTTCTTGAGAGTTCTCATGCCTGTTGTAAGTGCATGACCACTGAGTAAGTGTGCTTCTTGGTACCTCATGTCCTGCTTCGTTCTTAAGTGTGCTGTTTTGTATCTGGTAGTCTGTCGAATGTAGTAGACGTTTTGTATTGAGTCTCATTGTCTTTGCAGTTTCCCCCTTTTTAAGTGTTTTGCTCCTTCAGTAGTAGGTTGTTGTTGTAATGTGCAAATAGTTGTGGCAATAGCTTTTTATTTTGTCTTTTGTTTTCCATCACAACTATTCAGCTGTCAGTTATTTGCTGTGCATTTGTTTTTCATTTTTGTTATTGTACTTTTTGTCAATAATGTGGTTTGAGAGATTTCCTTTTAAAGAGTGCTACAACTTGTTAGATCTTAGAGATTGTTGTTGATGGCTTATTGACAATTGTTAAGCGGTATTTGTTTAATAATACCTCTTCTGAGTTTATAAACTCCTGTGTCTTTCTGTCTTTCAATAGTTCTGAAGGCCGGGTGCGTGCATGCATTTCACGCAAAGGTGCCAATATGTAGTGTAGTGACTATGTATCATGAAATTGAACACAACCAGCATAAATTGTGTAATAAAACTTAAGAAAATGCCTTTTCTGACCATTTCCTCTGTGTCAGTCCATATTATTGGATAAATTAATACATAATGAACTCAACACCCAATCAGCAAAGAAGTGGTCTAGGACAATAAAGTATGTTGGAAACTTCAGATTGTTCAGAATCTCTTCAGATTGTTAGACACTGTTCTCATTTGAACCTGATTATGGGCACAGCCTGAAATCAATAGAAGGGGCGAGACACTCTGATCTTGAAGTCTGCAGTGCGTTCCTTCGTCATTTTTTTGGTCACGTCGGAGTTGGCGGAATCGCGATCAGCGAGGCGGCCCCAGTTCCCTGCAGCTTCCAGCCTAGCAGCCCTGCTCCACGCATTGCTGTGCTCACACTCCAGGTAGGTCAGTGCCTGTGCAGAGCGTGTGGGCTCGGGGATGCGGTTGCTATGGTAACCCAGCCGAGCAGCAGAGTCTTTGATCCGGAAGCCCACTCTCCTACACTCTGTGAGGGGGTGGGTGCTGCTTGCACACTCCCATCCCTCATTTTATTAGGGCTGGGGGTGGGAGGTGTGCAAAACTCTACCGAGATGATAAAGTCTCTCTGTGAGTACTGTGGTAGCTAGCAAATGCCATGGGATTTATGCAGAGGAAGCATTTGGTAAACAAGAGTTCATTACAGTCTAGTGTGATATACATTGGTGACTATTCTAGTATGCTTAAAATTGATTATACAGTATGGATTTACATGACTCAGGCATCTACAGAACACCATTAATTAGACATAGTGTCTCTCATTCATCCATTTCCTAAGCACTTTATCCAGTACTGTGCAGCTGGGGAGCTGGAGCCTATCCCTTCAAGCAACGGACACAGGGCAGGATTCACTCTGGACAGGATGCCTGTCCATCTCAGGACAGAAAGACGCAAACACTCACAGAGGGGAGGAGGCTGGGGCAGTGGATTGTTTTCTGCAGACACTTTTCCGACGTCTCTTCTTGTTGGAATGGAATTTGGAGGGCTTGCATGCTTACGTATCGTGGGGGTACCTTCAAACAAGGTGTGCCATAAAAAAATCTGGGCATAATTTCTGAATGCAGTTTTGCATAATATGGAAATATATAGATCACTTCCTTTCTAGCTGTTTATCCACAAAGTTGCATTGGTCTGCTGAAGTCCCAGCCCTTGAGCATTAACACCCGAGCTGGAACCAGTGGAACCAATTGAGTGTCTTCTGCTTTCTTCCCCTACTGCAGGCCCACCACATGAACAGTATGGTCAAGGCACAGATGCAGCTCTCACTAGGCCAGCCTTGGACTGGAGGCTGCATCGTCTCTAGGCTACCATGATCTGGGATGCCTCATCCCAGATTTGAACAGGCACTGCAGCTTGTTGCTCAATTTCTTCTTTGAGGAGTGGTCTTGAGGCTGTTCAGAGTCATAAAACTGCTAGTCTGTGCTTGTGAGAACTTGCTATTCTTTGGCACAACAAACTGTGTAATTAGGAGTTGGTGGTGTCTCACAGTCCATTCTGAAACCCTGCTGGAATAACGTCTCTCTTAAATTCAGGTGAAATGTGTATTTAAGGAGCACATCCTGGCTCTCATCTGTGTCTGGCACCAAACGTGTCACGTACTGTATCTGTGTGCCAACGCCGTCAATAAAAAAAGAAATCAAAACACATGCTGCTTTTCCAAGTTTTCTTTTTTTAACATGTAACAAATCTTTTAACAGAATCTGCTGACTCGATTAGGGGGAAGAACCGTTAGCTGTGCTTGCCTGTTCTGCATCTTAGTTTTGCTTTGTTGCCTAACTTACAGTATTTCAGTGGGTGT